GGTTTGTGTGTCTGTGTGTGTGTGTGTGTGTATGTGTGCGTGCGTGCGTGTGTGTGTGTGCGTGCATGCGTGCGTGTGTGTTTGTGTACACGTGGTGAAACACCAAACCAATGTGCCAGGATCTGGACAATTAAGATGTATCTTATAATCTTATATCTTATAATCAAACATTACATCTATCCTTCTCTCCCAACAAACGTCAATCATCTTTTTCTCTCCTCTTTCTTTTCTCTGTACGTTACTCTCTTGTAACACCACGAATTTTCGGCATTTATTTGATCGAAGTATGTAGCAAGTATTGGACACACTCTCAGGAAGTCAAGCAGCTGCATAACAAGAAAAGTGTTAGATTGGAACCCACAGGGTAAAAGATCAAGGGGAAGACCTCATGGAACCTGGAGAAGAGTCACGGAAATGGATGTACAGAAAAGTGGGAAGACGTGGAGTGACATCAAGCGACTAGCCCAGGATGGGGAAAGGTGGAGAGTGTTTGTTCATGGCCTATATCCTGACACAGGATGAGAAAGGCAATGGTGATGATGATGTAGAAAGTGTCATAAAACTTTTACTAAAAATATAAAACAAAACAAGTGTAAACTCAGAGTACTACACAGGTGAGAAAAAAAATATATTGCTGGCTGGGTGAAATTATGCTAAAAAAAAAATAAAATATTGCAAAATAGTTTTTGTCAGAATCTTGCATTCAGCCACAGATATGATGAATCAGTGCTCTACTACTGATTGGGGATTTTAATTTGTTTCGGTTTACCTCAGTTTTTAGTCAAGTTAAGAGTATTACACAGAAGAGACATAGGCCTATATAGTTATCTGAGATGAAAAAATAAGCCAGTAGCTTAATATATCATATTCCTGAGAATTATTTGACAAGGTGTGAAAATGACAAGTATGGAAAAAAACCCATCTCGATTGCATACTAGCCAAGGGTCAGAGCGAGTTCACATCGCAGAATGACCAGAAATACAAAAATGGCGGCAGGAATGTATTCATCAGCATCCAGTGCCAGATCTGTGACAGACATTGGCGATCATGGTTCTCCATTCATTCCTTTGCTCGGACACTCTAAAAAAAGCTACGTTTCCCTGATCTTTCCCTGTTACCCATTTGTTTAGGTTCCCCAAGTAAGTTGTTCTGGGCCTTCCCCTGCCTCTCTTGCCCTCAATTTTGCCAGTGAGAGCTAGATGTTCAAGACCCTTATGTCTATTCAGGTGTCCCAAAAACTGCATTTGTCGTTTCCTGATTGTTTTTAACATTGTGCGTCCAACGTGGGCTTCATCAAGTACTACCTCATTTGATTTCTTTTCCTTCCACGATACTCTTAGCAGAATGTATTCGAACCCACAAATTATTCGGGTACCGTTGTGAGAATGTCTGTACGGTACCTTCAGATTCTTTTCCTTCGTTCATCTGTCGCTCTGCCAGGTCCTAAAAAACAAAACAAAACAAAAC